CATTATATTCTGTTGCTCGTCGGTAAAAAATATTAATAAGCGATTTGAACCAGGACCAGTATCTTTACGGAAAAATATTGTGTCACGTGTTGTTCGACGATATTTATTTGGAATAATTGGAAAGTTGATGTTTGCTGGTGTGGATACAGCGTTATCTTCTTGTCGCCAACGACGGATGTTTCGTTTCAAATTTTCATTGCTTGGTAGCTGAATATGCACTTCATCTGGGTCACTGATATTTCTTTGTGTTAAAATATTATGAGGATTTGTTTGATTCTGTTGTGATTCCCCTTGTAGTCGTTCATAGTACTGTCGAATTGGTCCAGAACGTGGATTTCCAGTGTGGTTTTCATGATCACCAACAGTCTTAATGAATATATTGCTTAAATCTGTATGTAATCGTCCATGGCAGGCATATTTTCTCGCATGTTCGCACTTCCAAAATATTTTTTCATCATTTCTTCTATCAATAATATATGAAAAGCCATTATGAATAAGTAGTGGAGCGTTCTTCGAGGTTTTAGAGAGAATAATTGGCCTGATTCTTTTGGTAGTGCACTGTACTGGAACTGGTACTGCTTTTATAGGGATATAGCGTTTATTATAACTCATTATTTTATGAGAATTAAATTAATTTCTACAAATTTAACTAATTTATTGTTACACATTTCTTTTTGGCGAGCAACTGTCCTAGACCCTTCTTGACAATGGTATTTTGATTTGTAAAGAATTGCTCACAGAGTTAACACAAATATGACTTTTCCGTAGCACTAATAATACTTTTGATCAAAAATATCCAATAGACGTATGAGCCAGCTAAATCGGTTGCGTATTAGAAGACGTCTGTTTACTGGGTCGTCTTTCCTACTGCAAAAAGTTGGATTCGCTTCGGCTTCGATACTCCATATGTTTCCGACAGACGGATCGTCACAGTTCACCGTCGGTTTTCTTGAAAAATAGACGACATAGGCAGGTTTTTATGATTTTTCACCGCTTTGTTCGCGTAATGTAGTGTTCAGGATAGAGAAAAGACCATTTGTATCTGTTTTATCCCCATTTATTATACATGACAGATCATTTTGACTTAACACTCAAACTTGGGATTAGGGGTGTTACTTTACTTTTACTAGCTTATCACTTTACTTAGTAAAGTAATAAAAAATTATTTCTTATTACTAGTAAGATTTTTTTTTATTACTTACTACATAACAGAACTATTACCTATTACTAGTAATAAGAAATAATTTTCTATTAGTGTATCGCGCTTTGAAAAGTAACAAAGAATAATATTATTTATTAACAAGAAATGCTATTCTCCGTTGGGCTGACCAACTGTAAATATAGAAAAAATGAATCTTTTTCAAATACTCTTTTTTTTGTTAGTTTTGTAGTAATTTTCTAATCCTTCTCTATCGTTTAAAGCTGATGGCCACTTTGCACAGGAGTTATGTGTTATGACATTAAGTATTTTTATCCATCAGTTATTGTTCCAGAAAAGGAAATCGTAACTGTGAAGATATGCGTCTTTTAAGGACATGTAGCACTTTGTTTCTTCGAAAGAGAAAGACATTATTTTCTTAAAGTAAATCACAGACTCACCTTCAAAAAAAAACTTTATAATGCTCAAATATTTTCTTGTTTTATTGAAATTATATTTCAATTTTACTCTTTTCATGAAACTGCTTATGCAATTCTTTAATGTTTATTTAATTTCATCAAAAGTCCCTCATCACGTAAAACCATTGTATAACGAAGTGTTGCAGGTGCCAGCGCTGCTCGTTGTTTTCTTTGTACGTAACCTGCTACGCTGAAGCAAGATTCACTTGCTACAGACGTCGCAGGTATGCAATTATAGTGACGAACTAAAGTAGCCATTTGAGGTAAACGTTGTTGATTTTCGTTCCAGCACGATTCAAATTGTGTCAGTTTTTATTGTTGATACATAGTGTCCAATTTCTTGTTTAATTGTAAATCGTTTTGCTTTTGTTGTTACTGATGACGAAGTTGAAGCTCTTCCACAATCTAATAAAAAATGGTCAATGGCAGACAGTGGTTGATGGGCAGAAGCGGTTCGTAACAACCGTTGTTGTGCCGAAGTATACGAGACAGTTAGCAATGATAATGATTGGCGTAAATCTTGTCTAACTTTAAGTTCCTGACTTATTGCTGATTCTGTTTCAATTCTACCTTTTTCATTTAAGTATTTATTCGATACTGGATCCAAAAATGATGCAATCTATAAATAGAAAAAGGATGACGAGGAGTGGAAAAGTTGTATGAAAAGTCCAGTAGGATTTTATCCTGATTATATATCTCCTTTGTATGTAACAGAGCAAAAACTTTATGAGTTAACAAAGCAACAAGTAGACTTTGTTGCCCTTAACCCAAGTGAATCTTAAAAAGTTTGCGTTTACCAAAGTTCTTCTTGTTTGTTCTAATGGCAGCTTTTTCTCAAAATAAAGGAGTAGTCCGCATAAGGCTTGAATTCGGTCCACTAAATTATTACTATTTTATTGGCTTAATCTATCGAGAATTCATCAAACTTATCTTGTTCAGTGCCTTCGACTTTTTCGGACGATTCAGATTGGACGTATACGATCAAATATACTCGCAGAGAAACACCCACCGTCACACTATCATTATTACCGTAAAATCAAAATTTCTTCGCAACTATACAGTACTTAGCTTAGTGTAATACACCCTTCGATGCGTCTTGAAAAGCTCCACAAGATGAGGTAATAAGAACCTTAACGAAGTCTGCCAGCAGTCACTGTGAATTAAATACTAGATTTTTCCATAGGTCGCCGCTATGCCACTCGAACTATCGATCACTTTTCTCTATGAAAATAAAGGTGATCCCTAATCATTCATATATCATTCAATGCGTCTTGAAAAGCTCTACAAGATGTGTTAATAAGAACATTAACGAAGCCCGGCAGCGGTCTTTGTGAATTTAACTGTTCGCCGCTTAAACGTAAGAGAACTTGTATAGCGTTTTCTGTTTTAGTAACGTCTGCAAAAGATATGGAAGACACGTGTTTTATATGGTTTGTTTAGTTTTGACTTTTATGCAGCTGATTTTAATCTTTTTGTGTGATCATTTATTTGTTCTCGTACGAAAGAGCATAGACAGGACTTTACTTGTCCGAATGATCACTTTCACGGCGTAAAACGTATCGGGAGTCTGATTCGTCTGAACTTGTGTCATAGTCTGAGTATGTTTGACTGTCATGAACAAAATTAATCAGTGTTGTTGATGGGTTAAGTTTAGTGTCAGTAATATGACGGCTGTAGCCGAGATACCATAGAAGAGTAGCCACATGACTGCAGCAGCCAACAGTTCTAGGCCCTATCGCACATGTGCAATACCATCCTTGTATTGGTTCTGATTTTGCTTTGTCAAATTGAACGTAGGATGAATAGATTTTAGAATTTTTATGACGGGATTGCAATTTTACACGAATAACATCTTTGGCAGTGGAACAAACCTGGAATTGAAAAGATGGCAGTTAGTTTAGAAAACTGGTTGACATAGGTTTGAAAAACATATTTGTATTATCTGCAAGAACCGCTTTTTGTGTGCTATGCAAATATGCTTTTCTCTGATATTGATAGTTTGATTTAGTTACAC